TCTGTCGCTGTGTACATCTATATCTGTACGTCTTTGTATCTTTGTCAGTCTATGTATCTATGTCTGTCTCTGTAGGCCTATCTATGTATGACTCTATATTATATCTTTGTTTGTCTCTGCATCTATGTTGTCTGTCTCTGTGTATTTTTATCAGTCTGTTCATGTATCTTTGTCTATCCCTGTGTCTATGTCTGTCTCTGTGTACATTTTTCTATATCTGTTTGTGAGTACTCAACGGCAAAACACCCAAAACTAAATTCTACAGTACAGATACAACATTTGATACCTCATTTCACATTACAGACACAATATCTGATACTATATTGTACAGTAAATATACAGCATTTGATACCTCATTTTACAGTACAGGCACAATATCTGATACTATATTGTACAGTAAATAATCAGTTCTTGATACCACATTTTACAATACAGATACCACACCTGATACCACATTTTACAGTAGAGATACAGTGTTCTTGATACCACATTTTACAGTATAACTACAATTCTTGACACCACATGTTACAGTAAAGATACAGTTCTCAATAATATATTCTACAGTACAGATACAACACTTGACATCTCATGTTACCGTAAAGATACAGTTCTCGATAATGTATTCTACAGTACAGATACAACACTTGACACTTCATGTTACCGTAAAGATACAATTCTTGATACCACAAGTTACAGTACAGATACAATTCTTGATACCACATGTTACAGTATAACTACAGTACTTATTCTCCACCAGGTCGTGGACCACGCGCCTTACGGGACCAGTGAGTCCATCCTGGACACACATGGCTGCGACTTGTGTGTGCACGGGGGTGAGTGGTAGACTGTGATAATTCGTTTGTTTGTTTGTTTGTTCGTGTGTTTTTTGTGCGTTTGTTTGTTTTTGTAAAAGAGTTTTACAGTACTTGCAACACAAAAAGGTCACATGTGCCTAAGCTTAGAGATGTTACAAGAGCGTAAACAAACAACAACAACAAAAAAGAAAAAGGAGGAGGGGAGATCATGACGAAAGATGTTTGATAGGAAAGAAGGAGCAAACAATTTTAGAGCATCCGCCAACCGCCCATGGTCATGTAAGTGCCGAAGATTGGAGTTACAAACGAGAAAGAGAGTAACAAACATAACAAGAGAAAGGAGGAGAATGACACAGTGCTTGTTTGTTTGTTTAGTATAGGGTTTTACGGCGCTCGCAACTGCATAAGGTCATATGAGCGCTGACACAGTGCGACTAGTGATAGAAGAAACAAACCACACTAGAGCGCCCACCAATCGCACACAGAGCTAATAAAGACAGAGAGACGTGGATGGTTGGCGGGTGCTCTGGTTATGGCTTGCTCCTTCTTTCCTATAAAAAATCTGTCGTCTCTATCTCCCCTCCTTCACTTTTTGTGTTTTTAAGTCTTTTGTAACACCTGTGATCTTCTGCACTTAAATGACCTTATTGTGCTACAAGTGCCGTAAAACTCTTACTAAA